ACACAGACAGAGGCCTGGGTCAGCTTGCTGAGGCCCTTGGGAGGGAGCCTGGGTCTGTCACATGGGGGAGGAAACCTCCCCCTCCCAAACTTCTCCAGCCACCTGAGAAAAAAGCAGTGACCATATCCACACCTTTTGCTGTGTCCTGTCTCTCCCTCCGTTCCCCCAGCTGCTACCCTGACTAGGGCCCACTTGCTTGCCATATCCCAGGCAGTGGGCAATAAGAATGCACTTTTTCACTTCAGGGTATAGCTCCTACAGGAGCCATGTATGAATTGGAAGTAAAAAACCATTTAATTAAATCACACATCTGGGCTCTGCTATGCCAACTGAACTGGAGCCCCTTTTGAGGAGGGAAGCTGGATGTGACGGGAAGCCCACAGGGCCTCAACTGTCACTGAGGGACAGGGGACATGGGTAGTCCCCTCATGCTGACCGGAGCTTACTGCTGGGAAACAGGGTTTGGTACGTGTGTGCATGTGTGCGTTCATGCGTGTGTGTGTGTGTGTGTGTGTGTGTGTGGGTGTGTGTAGTGATGAGTGCTACAAGACCTACAGAGGGCTCGGGCATCAAGGGAAAAATGACCAGAATGAGCTGCCTCTAGAGGTCGGTTCTCAGTGTCCTTTCTGCATTTTTGCCCCTGACTTTTAAGGGGACAGTGTGATGCTACGCCTGGAGAGCTGGTGGCCTGGGGTTCCAGTCTCACTCTGTCACAGCTTGCTCTGCAGCTTTGTTCTTACCATTTCTCAGTGTGAGCTTCAGGCTCCTCACACACAAAAGACTGCTTCAAACTCCTCACACACAACTCTGCTGTCTGGAGAAAGACATTACCACCTCCACCCCCATGGGGAAGCCAGGAACTTGTATTCCCATGGGCCTTCGTGAGGCTTGGCTCTTCCAGTCAGGTGTCCCAGCACAGACTCTGTGCCATGGGGAGCAGCACAAGGAGGGATGGATGTATGGAATCTGTTTTCTAGGTGGTACAGAAGTATCACCTACTGCTACAGAGCAGGCGACAGAGGCAGGGTTCCCATGTCCAGGCCCTGGGGCTGGTGATGTGAGTTTTGGGATCTGCATCCAGCAGCAGCTTCAATCAAATCTGACACTGTGTGGTTTGGGGTTGTTCCCGACTTGGCTTTCTGGTTTCCAGGCCATGGGCTGCCCTAGGCTATTTGGAGACTTGGTGCTAATTAGACAAGGATGTACTTCTGAGACAATTTACTGCCATCTGCTGGAAATTTGTTATCATATGCACATCTATTGTCTAACAAATACACAAATCTGTCAAGGTGTGAATGACACTCCCTCAAATGGGGTGGCCGTGTGCAGTGTGCAGCCTGCACAACTAATCTTGGTGGCCCTGCAAGCTTGACTCTCTGACCTTGTGGAAATTCTGTGAGAGCTTTATTTCCTTTAATAAATAACTTTTCTACTGAAGCTGACATTTGCCTAGGAGCTCTGGCTGATGCAAACGGGTTATAATGATACATTTCTCAAAGGGCTAAGAGTTAGATGATCAATGGATGTAAGAGTCCATGGAGAAGGCATAAGGCAACTACAATACCCAGAGGGTCAGTGTTTTGTGTATTAATTTTTAGAGGAACATGGGAAAGGGGTCTTCCTCGGTCCAGAAACCCATTAGTTTATTCTTTTGTTTTTGTGATCAAGGTCAGAGTTCATGGTTAAAGCGAGGAGCAATAGAATGAAAATGAGAGTGTTATACATGTGATAAATATTCCAGCGGGGAGACTCACGGCGAAGTGGCCCTGCCACGTCTGGTTCAGCAGCTGTGTGTCTCCTTGTGCTACAAGGAGAGATGACATCAACCTGGACATCTGATGACTGGGCAGTGGGGGTGGATCTAGCAGCAGACAAAGTGATCAGTTTCCAGGTTTTCTGGGCAAGATGTGAGTGATTTTGCCCTGATTTGCAAAAGCCTTTCTGGGCTCATTTTTGGGGTTCAGGTCACATGGTCACCACTGCTCAAGGTCTCTACAGCAACTCCCCTGCAGTGTGTAGTCACAAAAGGAAAAGGAGCAGGGTGTCTCCAGGGAATCCTTCCATCAGTTTAGGCTTATTCAATTCTCAGCCTTCCAACCTGAAAGGAAGGAAGCAGGTTATTTACTTTCTTCCTGCATGCATGGTCTCCTCCTGAGCCAGGCAGTGGGTTAGCGGGTTACCGGGTCAGCAGCTGACACTGTGCTGGTCCCCTCTGCCCAAAAGACCTGTGCTTATTTATCTGTAGAGGCCTGAGGTCTGTGGCTGTGCTTAGTCCGAACAAGGAGCACGGATGGCCGAAAGGGGGAGCCCGTGAGCCGTCACGCCTCCTCTGGAGGCAGGTCGTGAGTAAGAAGGTAGAGCGCAGAGGGGCGCCCGCGTAGTGGGGGGCAGCTGGGGTCAGCGGGGAAAAAGTAGGACATGGGATGGGTGGTTGGAAGTAGAAGTGTCGTTGGTTAAACACCTGATTCTAAAATTTATCCTATGACATCCCAGGTCTCTGATGTTCAGCAAAGGTGCCATGTTCCTGACTTTCTTAGTGCCCGAAGGACTGAACTTGGGAAGCCCCTGGCTAGAGTCTCACATTCCCAGGTCTAGCCCCACATTCCCAGGCCTAGCCCCACCTGACACTCTGGAGGGACTGTCCCTGCTGTACCCTTCTCTGACAGTGTTCCCTTCTATGGCCCGCTGCCTGCTCTTGCTCTTGAACTCAGAGGACCCTCAGGAGGCTGCCAGCAAGGGCTCTGGGGAAAAGAGGAAGTGGTAGTGAAGAGGTGGCAGGAGGATCCTGTCCTGCTAGGACAGGGATGAGCTGTGGTGCCACACTTCGCTATGGGCCTGAGAGCAGGGAGTCTCACTTCCTGTCAGCTCACGGTTCTCTTGTTGCTCACTGGGAGCTCTACATGAGTGCAGGGCCCTTCTCTGTGGAGCCCCTTTCTCTGGCCCCCATTTGCAGTAGTCACCAGTGAGGGCGGGGTGGGGAGGGCACACTTGTCGCAGCTCTTCTTGTCACCACTCTTGACAGTCCTCCTATGGCCATAGAGGTGTATGTGTGCCTTTCACAGAGCAGGTAGGAGGGACCCATGGGGCTACCTAGAAAGCAAGCCCTCCTTCCTGTGCAGGAATCTATCCTCCAGCATTCTTGAAAGATTGAGTGCTTCCGATGACAGAGAGCTTCCTCCTTCCTAAGGGACCTCATTCCACTCTAGGGCAGCTCCAGATGTTAGGAAGTCATCTTCCTTTGTTTGGGCACTGGTTGCCGCTGGACTGTCTCTGCTATTGGGTTGAACTGGCTAAATTCTTGGCAAGACCCTTGCACCTTCTATCACACACGGAGAAGCCCCAGGCTTTGTTTCAGCGTGTTCCATAAGGCTTCTTCTCCAGAGGAAGCTGTGCTTGCTTCTTTGGCCTGTCCTCAGAGGCCTTGTCCTCTTCCTAACACCACCCCTTCCTTGCCCAGGAGGTCCTTTGTTGCTAGTACCCCAACTCCCTTAGCATCTTGGGACCACATCTGGTGACCTCCATATAATTCCCACCTTGCTGGGGCTAAAAGATTTTACTCCCATGAGTTCAGCAGCAGCCAGGTGTAGGGGCTCACTGGGTCCGGTTCCTCACTTCTTCCCGCCTTCACCTTATCCTTCAGTGGACATGGGCCCCAGAATGAGGATCAAAGCATCCCTAAGAGTCTAAGCCAGTGGAGTCTCATGGCCTGTGTTCTTGCGGCAGGCTGTGCCCACCCCCAGCCATCAGCCATGAGCTGGGGCCTCTTAAAGCTGCAGGGTCACCAATAGACCATTCTGACTTCACTAGAAGATTCTAGAAAAGCCAGTCACTTTACCTGGAAGTAGTTCAAGCCATTCTTTTATATGAAGATAAATGCATATGTGTTATGTAATAGAATACAGAGGTATGAATTTCAAAACCGCAAGAGGCAACTTCAAAGGAGCATTACCCTATAGGAAGGTCACTTCAGGCTATTTCTTTAGATTTCAGCCCCTTAGTCAGCCAACTGGCTCGGCCCTCAACAGAGGGATGTTTAGATGGAGAATTTAGGAATTCTTATAGTACAAGAGGTCAGGAAAGAGAGGATCCGAGTGGAGAAGTGATTAACCTGAGGGCACATGGCTCAGAGGAATTCGGATTTTAAATCCAGATCTGTTTTTTTCTGTGCACAAGAAATGCTGCACAGGAAGTGCCTACCACAGCGAGAAAAGGAACTGAGAACAGAAAGGAAGTTCCAGGTTAGCCCTTGGTTTTCCAGAAAATGCAGTTCAAAGAAAAACTTAACTCTTAAGAGTTTGCTTTGGGTCTATGCTTTGAACAGAGTGAAGCCCATTCAATGAGAAGCATATTTCTTTACCTCCTTCAAGACCTAGAACTATGTGGTTGGAAAGAGGTTCTGGTGACCCAAGGAGGAGAAGCCCAATTCCACAGCAAGGATGAGAAGAGGCCAGCGTGGCAGTAGGGCGGGCTGGCCTGCTTGGGCACCATGCCGGGGAACTAGTACAACTGGCTGTGCTCACACAGTCAGCAGTCCTGGCCTTCCTCGTGCTCAGATGCCCCAGGCTGCACCTGGGCACATGCCCCTACACACTCTCTCTCTCTCTCTCTCTCTCACACACACACACACACACACACACACTGTGTGCAGGCTCACAGACATCTTATAGCTTACCATCATACAGTGCCTCACAAAGTTACGATATAAGAGATTATGAAGAACTGAGCTCAGCCTACCCACAACACCCAGAGACACCTGAAGTATGACCTGGGAGGGGGATTTCACTCTGAACCCAGTGAAGCAAAAAGGGCTGCTTTGACTCACTGTCCTCCTGATGATTAAAGAAAGTCAAAGGTTTAGGTGTCTGGAACGGTGTCTTTGAGATGATTTGAAATGCATGACACATAATAGTGTATACTTTAAGTGCCGAACTTCTACAGATAGGTTCGTTGCTGCCCAGAACATCCAGCAGTGACATCTCATAGAAGTGCAACTCTCAATATGATTTAATCAAGTCAGTTAATACTGTTTAATAAATAGGCCAGAAAATTAGCTGAGAGTTTCTCGGCAGGATGCTGCGTGCGACCAAAGTTATGGAAGATTGTCCCTTGAATCACTAAGGCAAACTTTGTTGAGTGTCATTTTACATAGCAATCACATAAAAAGAGTTATAAATAGAAAAAATTCCAAAGTTTTCCCACAGACAGACAGGGAAATCAGAAATATCAAAAAGAAAATTGAAACAAAATAAAACAGCCACCCCTCCCCCCTGCACCCCCATTTGCTTCAAGTTCTTGATCATACAGTACTCAACATCTTTGGATATTTTACAATGTACAACTCCAAACTGCAGCCAAGAAAAAACAAAAAGAACTAACCAGTCATCTGAAAATTGGAGTTTATAAGAAGTCATTACGTTTACAAAATAAAAACAAAAGCCCCAACACCACTGGATTCCACTTTGTTCATTTTGTCTTTGTAAGTTGAGATCAGCCCCAGTCCCTTGGCAATGTGGGAGCTTGGGCACATCAGCTGGTGGGTCCCAGAAGCAAGTGTCTGAAATGGAGACAAGAATCTAAGAGGTGGCTACCCAGGCAGGTGACCGCAGAGGGTGTCTGGATGTTTCCACCCTGCTGAAATGGCATCTGGTGACATGAGGACTGAGGGAGTCTCTTCTGGGGAGCTGTGAGAGGGACAGAGTCTGTGGTCTTCTCTGGCCTTTTTGTTTTTTTGTGTGTTTGCTCAGGAAAAAAGCCAAGGCGATAAGAAGGACCAAGCTCTTGTGCCACAGCTTGGGGACCAGGGACTTCAGTCCTGGGCCCTCTGGGCAGGTGCACTTTCCTCTCTGGGATACTAAGCAGTCAAAGCAGACTCAGGTAGAAAAAGGAGGGAGGGAAGAAAAGAGGAGCACACTCAGGAAGGCACTCAGCCAACGCAGCTGTCTTCCTTCTCAGGACCTGCCATTAACCTCAGACCAGGACAGTGTATGTCCTAAGACACAAGGATCTTCAGATCTCAAACCTCTGCCCCTCCCCACAACCCTTCTGCCAAGAGGGAAGCCAAACACTGGAACTTCATCCCCAGAGGGTGGAAAAAAGGGTTGGGGAGAGTGAAACACTGAGAAGGGGGCAATCACCATTGAGGCTGGCACCTGCAGGACCCCTACATTGAGAAGCAAACAAATAAAGCCTGAATAACTGGGTGCTTTGTCTCAGTTCAAGAATCAGGGGGAAGGGAGACAGTTGTCAGGTGCAAGTATCTGGCCTTGTCCCTTTGATATTGGCCCCAGGAGTCCCAAGAGACTCTGTACAGCTTTGAAGAGGGCACAGGAGAGTGGGGCAAATGCTGATGAGTGTTTCCAGGGGTGCAGACCAAACAGAGCTTGCAGGAAGTGGGGCAGCATGGAGCCCTCCAGATCTGCCTGTGGGCTATGGACAAGTGGTGACAGCCACCCCATAGCCTCCCCTTGTCTAGTTTGGTCAAATTTGTTGCCTGTACTAATATTCTAAAGTGGAGGTGGAGGTAATAAAGCAAAGTACCCAGTAAGAGAAACTTTCTCCAGGAAAATAGAGGGTGCAAAGTTCCTACCTCTCCAGGATCCTCTTTAGAGGATAGATGTAGACAGGTACAGGAGCTAGGGGCAGGGAACCTAAATTACCAAGCCTCTTCGTAGTAGGTGACACAGAGGCACAGACGGCTGACCTGTTCAAGGTCGCAGGGCAGGTAAGGGAAACATAGACCTGGACTCCAGTGGCTGCTTCCTTGTCCCTGGATGTCTCGTGGTCAATGGGACCTCTTTCTGTGTGGAAGATGGTCATTGCTCTAAAGGACCCCAGACCTCAGGGCACTGGAAAATGAGCCCCAGTGATAGAAGAAATTCCCATTGGACAGTGGGGCTCAACCAAGCTGTGTGCCCAAGACCCTACCCTTGTTCTTTCTCTATCCTGCCCACCTCTAGGAGGAACAATCCCCTCTGTATAGACCCCAGGGCTCCAAGGTGCTCTGGGCACCAGTATATGGCCCTCTGCTGTGGCATGGGCTCTGTAAGTTTCTGTGTGAGACAGAGAGACAGACAGAGAGAGGAGGTCCCAGGCTCCAGACCCATTGGGAGGTGATCCCCCTCTCTGACACCAGCAAAAGGGAGGCACTGCCTTTGGAGGCGCAGAAAACACCATGGTTGCTAATACATATTGTTTCATTTCCTCTGTGTTCGTAAAATGTGAAGTTCACAGCCACTGCTTGGGGCAGCTCAGGCGTGTAAGAGGGGACAGGGCCGGTGGGCCAGGTCTACCGGGGCCAGCCTAGTTGTTGGCTTCAGACATAGAAGCCACGTGGTTGAGGCTGGTGAGCCCGGGGAGGCTGGCCAAGCCTGCAGCCCAGGGGTCGGGGAGCGGGAAGTAGGGCCGCGCGGCTGCTACATTTTCAGCCAGCGCAAAGGCCAGGAGGCCCCCCGCGTTCCTCTCGGCCTCCAGCTGGGCGCGCCCAAACAGCTTCATCTGTGTCTCCTCGAATTGGCGCTCGAGCTCTTGCAGGCTCAGGGTGCCCTTGGGCGCCGCCAGGAAGTGCTTGGCGGGGCTGGGCCCCGGGAGGCACACGGCCGCACCGCCCAGGTGGCCGCCCACCTCGCCCAGGGAGGGTGGCATGACGAAGGCCGCCTTTTCCGGCGCAGGGCCGCCGGGGCCAAAGAGCAGGCTGGCGGCCCTCCAGGCGGCGGGCTTGCGGCCGCGCCGGGGCCTCGCCATGCGGCAGCTCTGGCGCTTGATGTGGCGATGCAGGTGGTCGGAGCGTGTGAAGCTCTTGTAGCAGAACTCGCACTGGTAGGGCCGCACCCCAGTGTGGATGCGCATGTGATTCTTGAGGTCGTAGTTGTGCACGAACTTGGCGTTGCAGTGAATGCACAGGTAGGGTCGCTCCCCTGTGTGCTTCCGCATGTGGATCTTCAACTTGTCCTGCCTGCGGTATAGAAGCCAGGAATTAGCTGCTGCATGAAACACCGGGAGCCACTCCTCAGCCCTTGCTCCCAGTTCCTCCAGGAATGTGCTGAGGCTCCACGTTGCTATGGTATTAAACCCCAGGGAGGGCGGCCCACGCTAGGCTCTACCTTCAACTTTTGTCCTAAGGATCACCCCCATTTTAAACAGGTGTGTCTACCCCTCTAGCTTAGAAGGAAGTGGGAAGGATCAGTGTCCTCAAAGACCACTTCCTCTTGTGGAACTCCTTTTATGCACAAACTGAGATTAATGACTCTCCCATTGCTTATCAGGGCCCTGTCTCACATACTGGAAAACAGACTTTGGGGGAGATAGGTCCCCCTAAATCAGCATTCTGGCCTTAGCATTCTCATAGTGAAGCGACTTCTGCAGATACCAGATTGTATTTTAATCTTTAACCTTGCTTTCCAGGCAACAGTCTTCTCTCTGGGCTCATCCTTGTTTTATGCTTTGTCCACAGCCCCTGGTCCCATCCCAGGCCCTGGGCTGTTGCAGTCTGTCCTCCGCACTAATCTGGGAGTCTCTAGAAGCCAAGGCACACCTTGTTCAAGTCTCCTGCACTGTGGTTTCTTATCCTAAGCCCTGGGCTCTCTCCTCTTTGCAGAAAATTTCAGGGTTTACAAAAGAGCCAGGTGCAACAAGAATGCAGGCTAATCTAAGGCAAAGCTTCTCCGGGTTTAGAGTATTATTCAGAGGTAAGTCATGGTATAGGGCGGGGTCCCTAGCCCCAGCTCCAGCTGCAGACCCACCACCAGCTTGCTGGGTGATCTTAGTAAGTTATGAAATCCCTCTGCACAGAGTTGAACCCAGGGCCAGACATGAATCCCCACTGTCCAGGGCTGCTGAAGACAGTTGGCTTTCTGCGAGCAAGAGACAGCACGTATTGTGGTGGGCTTGAAAGGAAAACTGATATCCTGGGTTTTTTGTCCTCAGGACTATGCAGTCAGTAGGCTAGTTTAAGGAGGCTTTCAGCTTGGCTGAGGCGGCGGCAACCGGGGTGCGTGTCCAGATTATTCTCCAGTTTTTTCTAGCTGGCCGGAGGCTGCCTCCTCTCCACAGGTGTGGTTTGGGTGGGGCGTCTGCTTGTAATTTCAGGCTGGGCTTTGAGGTCAGAGCAGATGTGCAGCCCAAGAGTCCTCCCTAAAATGGCCAGATTTCAACTATGCTCCGCATAACCCCAGACAGCAGAAGCCCTGGTGTCCTCTGGCCACTAGAGGGCTCTCTGACTCTCAGTTTCAAAGTGGTCTCTGAGGAAGGACTATCGATCTTGTGAACTCGGGAAGGGTGGAGGGAAAGAAAGGGCAGAGCCAGGAGGATTCCTGGCAGGTGGGGAGGAGGGCCGCAGGATGGGCTTGGGGTGGGAGGGGCGCTGCGCTTCTGCCTGGAGCTGACTATTCTCCACGCACCAGGCTGTCTCCTGCGCAGCCCCACAGCCTTTCCTGTGGTGACATCCCACTTCCCAGCAGCATGCAGCCCTGGGTGTGTAGCCCCAGAACACTGCGCAGGATGGGACCTTAGAGGGCATCCAGGCCAGTGGCTCAAATTTGAGTGATGCATGAGAACCACTATCAGGACTTCTTATCACCGAGTGCTGGGCCTACCCCAGAGCTCCTGAGTCACAGGTCTGGGGTGAGAAGGGGACCAGAGAACTGCATTTCTAACAAGCTGCCAGGTGCTGGCCCACAAGGCCCTGCCTTGAGAACCACTGGGCTTGGTAAATCTTTCATGCTTTGAGTGGACAAAGTGAGCCCAGTGAGGAGAACTTGTCAAGGTCACCCAGAAGCTAACAGCAAAGCTGACACTAGAACTTGGGCCTGGGAGTCAGGGTCTCTTTCTCACCACTGCACTGTGACCTGTATACAAAAGTAGGAGAGAGATGCACAGGACCATTTTGTAGCCCTATAGTGATGCTACTCTACAGTCTTGAGGGATATGCCTTGGGCTCTACAAATTTGCCCAGGTTTGGTGGCAACAGTAAAGGTAGGTGGTCAGCTAGGCTCACTCACTGGACCCAAGACCTGCTCTCTCCCGAGGGCTTGGCAAAGGGCTCTGCCCAGAGTCATCAGTGAAGGAAGAGTCACCAACTCATTTAATACTCACTGCAAACTTAAGAAATGTATGTATATACACACACATATATATGGAGAAATATTTTTTAAATTGCTATTACATAATTAACAGTTTTGCAGTATTGATTCTTCGGATCACTCTCAAACATGAGCAAAAAGTGTTGCATCTTCAAATGTCAAGGGCCTCACTGTAAATACCTATAACTTCTCCCAAACTTCTCTAATATTAGGGCATCTCAAATTAATCCTGTCTCAGTGGCAGTGGCCCATGGCCTAAGAAGTGCTAGGAAGGTGCCTCCTCATCACGTGGTTGGGTACCTGCTCTGGGCAGGTGAATACACTATTTCAGAGACCCAAGAAGGTCATTCTTCAGAGGCAAGGCATGGTATGGGGATAGGACCCTAGGGAGGGGAAAGGAGGATTCCCACTGAGGACTTCCCACCGGCAGCCTCTGTGGGCTGTCTCAGCAAGTGCACACAGGACCTATCCAAAGAGGGCATTGCTAGCGGGAGGACTCAGTTCTGGGCAGAGCTGTCTTTCCCTATCGGTGATTCACAGGAGCAGGGTGAGGAGTGGAGAGAGTGGGCACACTGTATGACAAGCTAGTCCTAGAAACCACTGGAGATCAGGTAGTGATCGCTGGGATTCAGAGTCTGAGTGGGTAGGCCGGTCACCTGAGTCATTAGCAATGCACTTCTTAGGACCATGAAAATGCTGATAGAATCTAGTTCCCCCACTTGCAAGATGAGGAAAGCAAGGACCAGAGAGTAACCAGCATTCTAAGGCCGGATAGCCTCCTCCTTAGTCAATGACCTCTTCATGTGCGTGTCACGACAGGCATGCTCTAAAGAACGGGACCAGGTCCCTTCATTGCCTGGGGCCTCAGTGTCCTGATCTCTAAAATGGTGACTTCTGATATTCCAAGGGTGTTGCACCTGGGTAATAACCTCGTGCTGGTTCTTTCCCATCCTGGTTTGTCTGGTGGGCTTTGTGTCTGACAGCTCTTCTCCCTTTTCTCTTCACAAATTTGGTCTGCTTGAGGAAGCAGCATGAGTTTGGATGGACTATTCTAGAGTGTGACTCTCAGGAGCTAAGCTCATAGCCCCTTCCCTTGAGGAAGGGAGGTCTAGGGGCCCCAGTCAAAATCTCCTGAAGCTCCACTTCCACTGACCTGTGTACTAACTCAGCCCTTAGGTGGCTTTCAAAGTTCTTTATACGCTCTCTCTACTCTGCTTTGCAGCAGCCCCCATGGTACCCACGGGCCACAGGATTACGCTGCTCATGCTCTGGCTGGCTTTGCTTCTTTGGACATCTGGTGACAGAACTGGGCTATCCACCTACGTCTCAAGCAGTCACCCAGGTCCCTGACACTCCAGACATCTATGACATGAACACTGCCCCTGAAGGCAGGTCGCCTGAGGGACACAGGGGAGCAGCAACAGAAGACAAGGTGTCATCTCCCGTGCCCTAGTGGTTCCATGTGTTTCAGCATTGCCTTCCCAGCAGCTCAGGTGCTCAGGGGAAACCCAGACTTTCCATCTGCATCGCCTATGACCCCTGCTGAGACCTCTAGGAGCTCCTGATAGGTAACAAACCTTTTGAGGTCACTCTGGCCAGAGCCGCCCTTCATTTCCATGTGTGTACTATTGCTAGGACAAAGGCCATTGTGCGTGCATGCACACAAGCCACCACCTGCCCCTGGCTCCTGGAGCATAGCTTGTTAGGAGTATAGATGACATGGTAATTCGTGAGACAGAAAATTCATGGGCAGGGAAGCAGTGATCCCCACTGGATGCAGAAAAGGGACCCAACATCGTGGATATTCTCAGCACTCATCATCAACATGGCTCAAGGGCTTATGTGGGCTGGGCATTCTGCCTGAGCTCCCTGGAGCCTCTAAAGTCAGAATTATCATCCTTCTCATGAGGAAACTGAGGCAGAGATACATCAGTATGTTCATAGCTTCCCTCACTGTGGGCCGGATAGCCATGAAATGGGGAACAACCTCAAGGAGGAACTGCTCCACCCTCTCTAGTGACACCTGAGAAACTGAGGCCCAGAGGGAGTAAAGGACTTGAGCAAGGTCACACAGCTGCAAACAGCCAGGCTCTGAACCTGAGCCTCCCAATGGCCTCCCAGTGCTCTTTCCAAAGTGCCATGACTGAGAGCTGTGGAGCCTTGCCTTCAGCCATTCAGTGATGACTGTTCAACTGGGGCAGGTAGGCAGTGGTACCTGCTTTGAGACACACCTGTTGGACACTCGTTTTGTATTCTGCAAGTGCACAACACTGCAAGTAGGTAGAAAGAGTGCTTGTGGTGAGTTTGTTGACTAATGACCATCAGGGCTAATTTCAGAACTCCTCATCTCCAAATGTGATGCATCCTCTCAGGTCCTAGTTCCCCTTACCTGTCACCTCATTCCATTTCCTTGCATCAGAGACCCGCCAAAGACATAGGCACTCAAACCTGATGCGCAGGGCCCCCTCTGACTTGGAGGGATCCATGGTCAGGAAAGATGTTCAAGTCCTCATGAGGACAAGGGTCACTGTGTACAAGTGGGAGGAGAGGGCTGTGGGCCTGAGCATGGACATTTGCTTTTACAAAGGCTCCCAGTCAGGTGTTTCCCAGCACCATCCACCCAGATGTCCCAGGGAATGATGGTCCGAGACCACCTCTTTTCCTGCAGCTGGGCTAATGACCTTACAATATCTTTTTTTTTTTGGTACTGGGACTCGAACTCAGGACCTTGTGCTTGGCAGGCAGGCACCTTACAGTATCTTAACAAGGTACCCAGAGCTGTGGGAAGGGCACTCTGGGGACAAAAGACAGGGGAGGGAGGGCGCTGGATGCTGTTTCTTGTTTGGAGAGCAGACAGATGTCAGGGAGGGGTCATCAGCATTGGGTTGGTGACCAATGGAGGTCAGGTGCTGGTCAATAAAAGTAGCCTTTGGGGACATTGCTAGGGGGTTCTACAAAAACCGATGACATCATGGCTTATCACTGGTGAGTTCTTAGCAAGCAGAGGCTGGCCATCCGGGAAAGGTCCGTCTGTCCTTCATGGCACCTCTGTTGTTTTGGGGGCCAGTCATGCTCTTTTTTCTTTATTTTTTGCCCATCAGACATGGCTGAGCCTCGCTGTAGGTGACCCTTGGATTAGGGCTGAGGAGGGAGACCCTTACCCTTGCCTTCTAGGAGCTCCCTGCAGAGGGCCTGTTGTAGCAGGCAGGTCCCCACGGCTTATGATCAAGGACCCATGTGGTGGGAAGTGAGAGGAGGTGGGGCCCAGTACCAGTTGGCAGTGATGCTGCCGTTGGAGCAAGAAGGTGCACAGGGCCCACTGCAGTGTCCAGTGCAAGGAAATGCCCACCAAGTTCTTGTCCTTCCTGGGCCACATGCTCCCTATCCTTCAGGGCCCTTCTTATGTGTTAAATCTGGCAGGCCCCTGCACCTCATCTTTGGTTTTGCCTTGCAAGGGAACCTGGGAATTCCAGGTCAGAGAAGTAGCCACTGCTGCTGAAGAATGTCCAGGTGGGGAGGAAGTAGGAAGGTGTTACAGATCGTGGTTGAGGACTCACCCAAAGAGCAGGTCCCTATGGAAAGGCTGCAAGTGGACTTGGCTCTAGGAAGTGTTATAGGAAAATCTCATCCTGCACAGGTCAGGGTTGGTGCTGTTGGAGGACTGGAAAGAATCCTTGCTGGGCAGCCCTGGAGAGGGCGCAGGAAGCAAAGGACCAGTGATTCTGAAGAATGTGGTGGGAGTGTTCAACAGGACAGCCACAGTTCATAGTGAGAAATACAGTCCCTGATGGGAGGCAGGCCAGCAAGCCTCCGCCCTTCCTGTCCCCTGCCCCTGGCCTCTCTTTGCTCCAGAAAGGGGGCCCAGAGCTTGTCTGATCTTGTTCCGGAGGGTCAGAGCCCAGTGGGAACCAAGTGAGGGGAGGTGTGGTGGGAGCTGGATCGCAGCTGCTGCAGCTGGAGACAGCCTGGGGGCCCAGATGGCTGTCATCCGGCTGAGCAGGAGTAACCAGAGGGCAGGCAGGACAGATGGCTGGATGGCTGGAACTGCCCCGGGGCTGATCTGGCCTGGAGGGGTAGGGAGACAGTGGACACAGAGGCCACCCTTAAGGTCCATCAGGAATGTGCTGCAAGGGACTATTCTGAAATGTCACCCTCCTATATAAAATTGCATCGTTGCCCAAACCAGGAGGCCTATTCTCAGGGGATGTTCCAGTGTCCAGAGGGCAAGAAATCTGCAGTCACTGGCCAAGTTTAAAGCTTTTCCTAGGGAAAGTGGGGCTCACAGACTGGCCAGACCTGCGTGGACCTCACAGAGGGATGGTGTGGGGAAGACCCAGAAGGGAGGGAGAAGGGGAGTCAGGTGCCAGTTAGCTCACATATGGTACCCTGAGGTGCATATGCTGTTGAAGCCACTGGCCTGGTGTCCCCTGAAAAAGGAGAGGTGGTTCCAGTGGCAGCCATCTGCCAAGGGACAGGCATGGGGAGTCTGGGAAGAGGGGCTTGGCTAGGCAGGAGAGGGCACTCTGGGCTGATGCAGCCGCTGGCTTTCCTGGATCTGTCCTGAGTCTTTGAGGTCAGTCCCAGTGGGCTGGGAGTCTCAGGCTGGAGCAAGGCCCCTGCTAAAGATGAGTGCACTGTATGTGAACTCTGCCGTCACGTGCATGCTGGCTTATATCCCTGCCTTCCTGTGTTTTAGTTGAGTCTTTTTCAGGTATTCTAGCTGAGCCCTGTGTGGCATTCAGGAGAAGGCAGGGGTGGAAAGTGAGGACAACATTGCCCAAGGTGGAGTTAGCACACAGGGCTATTTTCAAGGGACACCCAAGGGGAGGTGGTTCCCAGGAACTCAGGTGCACCTGCACTATGGAAGAACAGGACCAGAACACCATGAGCATTCCAAGTGGCTTGCTGCTAAGATGGAAGGGACACATCCTGGATGTGTGAGCTTGCCACTGCCCTGCACCTACAGATTCTCTCCTTACTGCCCCCTGGAAGCATCTGTGGTGATTCTGTTTGCGGGACCTCATAGAAGCAGCTGTGAGGAGGACTCCATAGTCACGGTGGGAGCCCTTAGTGTTTCCTTCAAAGAAGTCACTAGGGGTGGCCACAGAGCTATTTAGTAGTGCCACTGCCACTGGAATGTGTTTCTGAAACCCTTCTCTGGCACCTCCAAATAGTGTTCCTTGTCGTCCACCCAAGAAGGCAGGTTGTATCTGTTTAGAGGACTCACCTTGTTTGTTATTCCTGGAAAACCACAGTCCCTGATTTGATATTCAATTGATTAAAAAATTTCACTCCACTTTCAAAGGCCAAAGGCTTGGGCCCACTGAGCAAAAATCCAAAGGAGGAGCCTCCAACAATCCCCAAGGGCAAATTTCCAAGAGGATTTAGGGTGATGGTGCACGGTTAGAACAAGTTGGGGCTTTTCGAGGTAAGTTCTTTGAGGGGACAGTGGCAGTGGGGAAAGGATCTAGTTTCATAGGCCATGACTACGGCACAGGTGTCACCAGGCTCTGTCCACATCCAGCACATGAAATGACCAGACATTGATTCGAGGCCACTCACCTGACCTTTCCCCACCATGGATAGCTAGAGGACCAAGGGCCACAGGTGGCACAAACAGGCAGTATTTTCCAACAACTGTGGCCTTTCAAAAATCTATCAGCAGGCAGCTCTGATTTCACATCGTCCCACCTGTCCATTTTGACTACCAAAGTTGCTGCACAGGGAAGGTGCATAACACACATCTGCTGAATGCGATGGTTTCCCTGAAGATGAAGTTTGTCATACGTTCCTTTCAAATCTTAGAATAGTTATCCTCCTTCTTTCTAACATGGACAGGCAAAAGGGAGACCATAAAATGAAGCCCATCCCTTAAGGGAGATGGAAGGGGCCTTCAGGGATCTCTCCAGACTTTGCCATCGCCCACGCACTGAGAGCTAAGTCCCAGCTCTGCCACTGTCCAGCTGCACTTACAAGTGGCCAGCTTGCCACTGGGAGATGGACCTGAAACGAAGGCAATAGTGCTTCCCCATCCTTCGGGGCACTTAGGACGCAGGTCCTGCTTCAGAAAGGGTAGCTGCTGCTTTTCCCAATGAGACAAGGGCTGCCTCCATGGGGAGCCTCCAACAGGGCTCTGTGGATATGCAGTGGGGAAGAAGACAGGGAGGCCATGTGGACAAGGCAGTGAAGCCCCTCACCTCTGTCTCATCAGAACAGCTCTGCTCTGACCTGTCTTATATCCTGGGCTCCCACTTGACACTGTTTCTGAGAAAATATTTTAGCTACAATGGGTTTGGAAGTCAGCACACTGGGTAATGGCTGCCATCCCTCCTAGCAATGAATTTGATATGTGCCTAGGCTCAGCCTGCGGCTCTCTCTCCATCCCTGGTCTCCATGCGTCTTTCTGCTGTCATCTCCCAGCTTCTGGCCCTGTCCCCAGCACCCTCACCTTACCCTTGGCTACAGTTTCGCACCTGGTGAAGCGGACCTCGCAGATGTTGCACATGTATGGCTTCTCCCCGGTGTGGGTCCTCATGTGCCGCGGTAGCTTCCCGGCCCCCATGATGACTTTGTGGCAGATGGGGCACTGCTGAGAGGCCTTGGGCTTCAGCTTGCGCTCCTCTACCAGCGGCCAGGGTGGGAAAAGGCTCCCCAGATGGGTGGCACTCAGGAAGTTAAGATAGGCACCATAGTCGTTCTCTGCCTTGATGGGGCCCAGTGGCCCCCCAGGCAGGTCAGGGAACATGTCCTTGAAGAAGTCGCTAGGGAAGGGTGGGGGTGGGGGTGGGGGCAGCTCCTCCTTCTCCTCCTCCTTGATCTTCCGGTTCTTGATGACCAGATCCAGTGGCCCACTGTCCATTGGCTGCTCAGGCAGCTGGGCAAAGGCACCGAAGTCCCCTGGCCAAAGGTGTGGGAAGAAGTCTGGGGCAAATGGAGACAAGGAGGGTCTCCTGTCAGGGATGCTGGCTTTGGGATACAGGTTCTCCCTCAGCAGAGACTCAATGGAGAAGTCCCGGATCACACCCAGATGGCCAGGGCTGGCAGCCTGGAAAGAATCAGGGAAGTCCCTGGGTGTGTCTGAATAGGCCTTCTCTGTGAGATGGTCCGTCTTGGAGGGGCTTTGGTGGCAGTTGATGTCCTGGGGATCGGGCAGATTTTCTTGGTCAGCAAAGTCCTCTGTATCATCATCCTCCTCCTCTTCTTCCTCTTCCTCCTCCTCCTCTTCATCTTCCTCATCATCATCATCTTCATCGTCATCATCATCCTCCTTGTCATCCTCCTCTCCTCCATCACCACCAGGCTCCATGATCTCCAGGCACACATTCACGATGCACTGGATCTCTAGCATCCTGGCAGCATTGAGGATGTGCTTGACATTGGAGGCGGTGATGGTGAGTGTGGAGGTGTAGGCAAATTCCAGGATGGCGGCCAGAGCCTCAGGCTGGACGAAGTCGATCTCATAGACGTAGGGCTGGCTGGCTAGGCTGCCAGCTGTGAAGAGCTTCTTGAAGTACTTGCTGCAGGCAGCCAGGACAGAGCGGTGTGTGCGGTACTCCTGCTCCTGCACCACCAGGAGCACGTCGCACAGCAGCCCTGCGTGCCGCTGCTCATTGAGACTGCACAGCACCTCGCTGCTGTGGTTGGGGAAGGGAATGCCAATGAGCTCGTCGATGCCATTGGCCATGTTCTCAGCCAGAGCCCTGCAAGGAAACAGAGAGACCTAATGTGGTTAGCAGCATGGCCCAGGAGGGGAATCAGCTCCAGGACCCTGGACTACTTGCTTGCTCTCACCCCTACTTTGCTTAAGGGGTTCTCTGTCACGAGAAAGCTGGCTACTCTACCTCTCAGTTTTGCCAAGCTGCACCTGAAATTCACAGCCTGACACAAGCTGGGATTATTCTCTGCACCCTGGAAAGCTGAGAGTTAGTGTCTCACTGGACAGCAGGCATCAGCTCTGTAGCAAAAGCTGTAGAGGTTTCTTCTGGGCATGGTTCACTGAATCCCACTTTTTCAGTGTGGAATTGCAGAACACAGGATGAAGAGCCACACAACAGCCAGCAGTTCTGTGCACTCTGATCATGGTGCCCACCATTTATACAAGAACCATGCGGTGCTTCTGCTGAGGATATGTTCTCATTTGTCTCACAGGTCCTCAGACTTTGCAGCAGACTCCCATTTTGCACTGGCTACCAGGAAGCTTAAAATCCACTTTGTGACCAGTTTTAGCAAGTGAATAGGGATTTTGCTTTGGTTCCTGAACTTACTCCTGGCTTTATCAGAGCTGATAGAATTTCTTTTTATTTATAATTTTTGCTTTTTCTCTTTTAATACTTTTTTCTTTTAATACATTCAATAAGTATTCTATATGTATGTCTCAGCCATTTCACTTGCAAATAGACAGTAAAATCAATATAGATGCAAGTGTACTTTTAATTTATTTATCATGACTATATGCTGTTAGTCTCATGGATGTATCAACCTCTGTGGGGAGAAACTCTTCTGAGTCACTTTGTCATTATGGATGGCCCCAGACTTAAGATAGTTGGACACCATTTTTCAGCTTTATGATGATGTGAAAGTGAACACACACAACCATTCTGCTTTTCACTTTTAGTATAGTAGTCAGTAAATTACATGAGTTATTCAACCCTTGATTATGGAATAGGCTTTGTGTTGGATGACTTTGTCCAACTGTAGGCTAATGCTAAGTGTTCTGGGCGTGTTTGAGGTGAGGTAGGCTGAGCTACGATATTGGATAGCTCGAGTGTAGTAAATGCAATTCTGACTTTCAATATTTTCTACTCATGATGCGTTTGGGGGGGATGTAGCCCCATCACTGTTGAAGAACATCTGTATGTATGTTGTGGCTACCAGGGAAAAGTAGGGCACGGCAGAGGGTGGCTGGCATCCTTTCATTAGGGAAGTATAGGTCCAAGCCTGTTAGAATGTTCAACCTGGGCAAAAACTGGCTTTTGTCAAGACATGCAGGGCCCTTCTACTGGTGGCAAAGCCTGAAGGTGGCCCATAGATCATCCTAGCAAAGGCCTGACCCTTATCTTGGTACAATTAAAAAGACGAGAAAAAAAAAAAAAAAAGAACAAGACAATCTATGAGCCCCACGGCCCAGTGGAAAATTATCCTCACACATTTATCTCCTGGAAGTTTCGGCCCTGGGAAGGCAGAATTAGGGGGAGGGAGGAGTGAGAAGTGCAGACAACAATGTAAAAGCACCAGGGAACCAGCGGGCACGCAGGGTGCTGAGTGTTCCTTCCCTTCCCTAGCTTCTCCTCCATCCTGGAGCAGCCTGGACCTTCCCTCAGCAATCCCACATGACCAGGTGCTCAGAAGGTTTCCCAGAGCAAAGGTCCCACTGCTATCCCACCTCATCAAGGGCAAAGACCCCACAGCCAGGGATTTGCTTCCTTGACATATTCATTGGGTTTTCCCCTTCTGCCAGGCATGATCCTAAACACCGAGGATGTGCAGAGAATAAACCAAGAAGGCCTCTGCTCTGACAGCCCTCATGTGACCACGAGAGCTGTGAAAAAACATGTCTCATCAAAGAGGCTATACAGACAGCAAATAAGCCACCTTGCTTTAAAAAGGGTTCAACACTGTTAACCATTACAGAAATGTAACTTAAAACCCCAATGAGGTATTGCGACATACCTATTAGAGTACTTAAAATACAAAATAGTGATAAGACCAAATGCTGGTGAGTATGTGGAGAAAATGGATAAGGTGTACATTGCTGGTAGAAATGTAAAATGGTACAGCCACTCTGGAAAATGTACGGCAGTTTCTTAAAAATTATGACTGCATTCTTGAACATTTACCTCAGGGAAATAAAAAACTCTGTCTATAAAATAACCTCTGTACAAATATTCATGGCCACTTTATGCATAATAATCAATAACCAGCAAAGGTCCCTAGAACAACTAGTCAGCACTGCTATTACTGCGTGACTGGCCCGGGCAGTGGGTACTCAGAGGGGCCCAGGCACTTCTTTTGTCAGAGGGTGGGAAGGACTGAGGCTGGAAGCGAGTGAGTGGCCATGGCTTCCAGGGAGCCCAAGCAGGAAGGGACATGCAGGGCCTACTGAATTCTTCCAGGCATGCTGGACTGGCCTCAGCAGTGAGCACCAAAACCTCCCAGACCGTTCACAGATGCTTGCTGGCTCCCCATGCAGCCTTTCCTGCTTCGTGGCAGTGGCCCCTTTCTGGTGATTTTGCAAAGCTCTGCCAGGAGAAGGCAAAGTAGGGAAGGAAAGGGAGCTGAAGCTCACTCAGGCTTTCTCATCCCCTTTTGACACAGCTGTGAGTGACACAAACTGTAGGAGGCACATGGCTAGAACCCTCCCCTCCAGGGTATCCCTGTACCTCCTATTCTCAATTCCCAAACATAGAGTTCTCAGCCTCCCAACCTTTGTTCATGCTGAGCTCCTGTGGGAAAGCATCCAATATCATGCATCTCCAATGGTTCACATCCTACCACACTCCAGTCCCACCCAGATGTTCCCTTTGCCATTCCCCAATTCAGGTGCCAGGCCTCTCCAGCCCTTGGCCTTCTGGACACCTGATGATCCCAGTCATTCATTGAATTTGACTCTGTCTTATATTATAACTAGTGATAGTTATGGTGGCATCTCTGCTAGACTGTAAGATGCTTGAGGGCAGATACTACCATCAGTATCATTAAATGCTTGGCACAGTCCTGGCATATAGTTGGTGAAGGTCTATATATAGCAAGGGGTGTTCTAGTAATTAGTGCTGAAATTAATGTTTTACAGGTTGTTCGCTATACAAAAGCATTTCATCCAAGGGATTGTACTGGCAGGTTCAAAAGTATTCCCAGTGATTTCTGCATCTTGGTGGTGGGATTTTGTGCCTTTGTGTGCTCCCCTTCACACAAACAGGGCGACCAGTAAGATCTGTGGGAGTGATAACAGGCGACCTCTATGGGGGTCATGAAAGACACTGCTGCTTCACTTTGCTTTCTCTTGATCACACATTCCGGGGACCTAGGGCCACATGGGGAGGATGCTCAAGCCATGAGAGGGCGACATGGCAAGAGCTTGAGGTCTCCTACAACAGCAGCACCCACTTGTCCCTGTATGAGTGGCTCCCCCTGTCCCCCTCAGACCTTACACTCATGGCACCCCCTGCTGACACCTTGATGGCACCTTTATAAGAGAAGGTAGAACACTCAGTTTAGCTTCTCCTCAATTTCTGACCCACAGAAGCTGTGAGATGATAAATGCTTATTCTTACTTTCAGCCATGAAGTTTCATTGTCTGTTATGCAGAAACAGATAACTCTGATGCAGAGGCACTGTTCATTTCATAGACATTGTAGACTTGTGATATTTATGGTGATGGTTTTCTGCAGTTAAATGTCAGTCTAACAAAATCAGCATATTATGGCAGTGCTTTGGTAGATTAAAATAAATTTATTGAGGAAGTGATATCTTTTCCTAATTCCCACAAAACCATCCTCAGGGCAGTAGGAGTCCTGACCCTCAGAGAGGCCTTGTCCTCTGAAAAGACGATGAGTGAAACACCCCTTACACTGTTGGGTAGAAACCTAGGTCAGTGAAACCTCAGGAAATTAGTTCTTTATGGAAAGCAAATTTCCTTGCTTGCTAAGGTCTTATTCCTTTAATGATGATAGTGCTTTCTAATGGTTCTCAGGGAAAATTCCAATCATTCCTTAAGCTTTTCCTGGCAATCTTAAATAGAGGATCCAGGGCCCATTGGACCATGTGTTGGTGCTCAGTGTCTCAGCATGTGTGGTGACTGTCCGAGCCCACTGAGGAATGGAAAGTAGTTGCCCTAAGCTGAATGCCCCATCTCCTGAGCTTCGAAGGCAATGTGTACTTGGAATCCAGAGTTAGTGTAATTTTATTAGGCCCCTCCACCTTTCAGGGCTTCTGCTTTCTCCTGTTGTCACTGGGTGTCATGAGAGATCTGATAACCTACATCAGGACCAAGAGGAGCTTGAGGAGGGGGCAACAGGTCCTGCCCAGTGACCTTGGACTTGAAGGCTGGCCTGCCCAGCAGCGACTTCTGACTGTGTCTTGGTTTGTGGTCTTTGTTCCATTCTCGGAGCAACGGATGTAACCATGGTAGCTCGAGGTTGTTTTTCCAGGCAGGACACTAACCCGGGGGTGGGGGCTGGGACGGGTAAGCTGTGGTCAGGAGGCAGGCGGGGGCTGCCACAGGCTGCTTCATTGTCTCTCTGGGAAGAAGCACCTCCGCCCTGCACTCTGGGAGCTTCCCTGGTGACCCTAAGATTCCCATGCCCTGGTGATCCAGCACTCACAGTGTCCCAGAAGAGATGCCATGTCCCTCCCCCATCTTCCCGCCCCAGCCTTCCATCCCTTCTCTCCCACTGACCAAGCCAGGGCAGTCTCTCTCCAAGAATAACAGGCACAGGGAAAAAAACTAAACACACACACACACACACACACACACACACACACACACACACACACACACACACACACACACACACACAGAGCCAAACAAAAAACTCTCAAAGGCTTGTAGAGGCTTGCTGCAAAATAAAAACCTCTGGGAGGAAGATGATAGAAAAAAAAAAAAAAAAAATATATATATATATATATATATATATAGTGAGCCAAAAATAAAGGGGAGACTGAGGATATAGCTCAGCAGCACAGCACCTGCCTGGCAAGCATG